TGTAACCAGTTCAACTTCTTTTCCCTTTTCATTTGCAAATATTCTTCTTCTGTGATGTGATTAGTGGCATCAGCACCTTTGTTTTCTGTAAAAGGTAATCACCTAAAGCCAACCTGTGCATAGTAAATGAGGACCATCATGTAATGTGTGGAGAAACAAAATGAAGGTCTGTCATGGCAGAGGCCAGGGCTTTTGGCTCCTCTTGAGAGAGAAGCCACCTGCCTTTTTCCTCCACAGGACTCAGTAGTCTGTGTGAACGTCTCGTGTCTTATCCACAATGTCACAGACTCCACGAGCCAGGGTCTGCATCAGCCCTCTTCTACTTGACCCCAATCACACTTTTATCTGATGTTCATATCCTCTATTAAGATTTGCTCAGGTTGACGTTGAAGTTTTTTGTCTCTTTAGAGGCACTTACATGATTCAGTACATGATATTCAGTAACTGTTGAAATTAGGGCCTTGCTGTCTCTGTGCTACTGTGAAGGGAAAAGCTCATCCCTGTTACCCACACCTATAGTCTGTCTGTGCCATGAAGTTCACAGCCATGGGTTTTGGATCACCCTGTCCACACTGAGAAAATGAAAGTCAAGGCACAAACCTCAGTAAATCAAGTTCCATGGAAAAGCAGAGATATTCGGTGTAATGTTCAGGATTAGTTTAGTGCTGTCTGTTCTTTCCTCCCAACTAAGTTCATGTTGGGCTGATGGTGCAGCATCTGAACAGTCCTGGACATGAGATTTCCACCTCACATAGTGGCTAACTGGAGTCACCTTTGCATATAAAAAGTGGAGAACCCAGGCTGGGTGGCTCAGTTGCTTGGACCATTGTTCACGAACACCAAAAGTTTTCAGGTTTGAGCCCAATACCAGGTCAGGGCACATTTGGGAGGAGAGAGGTGGGCGTTTCTCTCACATCATTATCTCTCCCTCTTTCTCTGTCTCTCTCTAAAATCTATAAATATACCTTCAGGTGAGGATTTAAAAGTGGGGAACCCCTACCCATAGCCTAAGAATATGTCTGTAAATAACCACTTGCATGTGTATGTAAATGGATATTTTCTTTACATTATGGGTGGTTTGTCAAATATGAATAAAGTTGGCTGTGGTTTAACTGCCCTTTTTTTAAAATTTTATAACACCCAAACCACTGCTTGCACAGACCTAACTAGTAGGGGCTGGTTTGACTTTGAACATTTTCCACGAATCAACCACATTGCCAGAGCACCTCGACAAAAGAAGCCTGAGAAACTAAAGCACCATCAGCTACAGCAGCACCCTCCCACCAGCCACTCTGTTGCCTCTACCACCTTTGCTCTCCCTCCCTTACTGCCTGTTTCAGAGCAGCCCAGGTTGAGCTGAGGAAGGAAATTGCTAAGAAGTTTGGTGGGACAGGAAATGCTGCCTCATAGGGCTCAACTGTGAAATTGGCTGCCCAAAGTGTTCAGTGGTTTTCAAGTGTCCTCTATGCAGAAACAGTTTTTACTAAGTCAGAAGTTTTCAACATTTTTCATCTCATGGCACACATAAACTATTAAAATTAAGTGGTACCCCCCAAATATTATTTTACTGATATGGTGAAAATAGGTATAATTTTGATTGATTTACAAAAATAATAATAGTAATTTCCTACTCTTTTTGCACAAAGTGATGTTTTAAAAAATTAGAGGCCTATACTTATAGATAAGGGTTTCTGGCACCACAGCTTAACCAATCAGATGCAATGTTATTATGTGATGTGACCAATAAGTTGCAAGTCTATTATATGACCTATGTATTTATGGTCCAAGACAGGGCATTCATGCCAGTGTGCTGTTCTTCTATTGGCTATTTATGTTTTTTATTGACAATCTAATGCTGAAGAGTTCAGTGCCCCTGACTAAATAGTCAGGTGTTGCATGTTTTAAAAATTCTTGTGGCACACCACTTGAAATTGTTGCTTTACATAGAAGGCCAAATAATTGGCCTTGAGGGGTCTGACCAAATTAATGAGAACCAAGTAATAGATATAAGTAAATTTAGTCTTTCTTGTGTCTGTTTTGTTTTTTAATGAAAACCTCTATTTCATTTCCAAAAGAACCTGACTCACAGAACCTGAAGCTAATTGCAAACAAATAAAATCTTCCAATCTTTAAATGAGACCTTGTCTTAACTCTAATATATCAAAGTTTTTACTTTTATAAGATTCATTAGAGAAAATAGGAAAATATACAATTACTTATTTTTTTCACAGTTACCATACATTGAACATTTATTTTCAAGCCTTGTTTGTGCCTATGGTTTAATAAGGTATTCTCATTCACCAGATAACTACGCAGCTAAATGTCTACATACACTGACATAAGAGCTCTAGTATGTGTAGGTAAAAGGAGTAGTGTAGAATAATGTATAATGTTTACTACCTTTGTGTGCTAAGGGCGGATTAGAATATAGAGACACATGCATATGTATTGATATATGTACATTCATAACTGCATAGTAAAATCTAGAAGGATGCCTGAGAAACAAAAGTGTTACCTGTAAGAGGTTGGGGAGGTAGGGAACAGAGGCTGGAGCAGGATTTCTTAATGCATTTTTAGAGTGTTTTGTTCTTGGAGCCACATGAAGGTATTATCAAACAATTTTAGTAGGGTTCTTCTATGCACATTATTTTTCAACAACACTTCCTGGTTGATATTTCATTTCTTTAGGTAATCTACATGTTTTGAAGATGTATGGTAGTCTGTCATATGACATTCTTTTGTTTATTCTTTCAGTTTTTTATGTGGCCTTTGGGTTAATTTGGGGCTGCTCTAAAGTAGCGCTATAGTGAATGAACATCCTCACACTTAAGTCTTAGTCCATGCCATCGTTTCCTTATGAAATTGATGGGCCAATGGTTAGAACGCTTTCCAGGATGCAGCATCTTCTCCTGTGGAATGAGCCCTGTGATGGCTCCTGGCTGCCTGAGAGCAGAGACAGTGGCACCAGAGCTCAGGAGCTTTCAGCCATTTAATGGCCTCAATACCGGCTACACATTAGAATTACTGAAGGAGGCTGTTTAAAGTCCGACACCTGGTCTGTGAGGAAGTTTTGGCCTGAGTGATTTTTAAAGGCTCCAGGAAGAAAGCCATTGGCACAATGGGTAAAACAGCAGAGTTTAAGAGCAGATTCCAGATGGCCCTGGAATCCTGTGGACCCTGGCAGTACTCTGTGATTGGCCTCAGGCATATTTCTGAGCCTCTCTGGTCTTCCCATCAGCTAAAGGAGCATGATACCTGCACTGTGGTACAGTGAGAGCATTGGACACAGAGCATGCAGACTGCCTGGCAGCATTCCTGGTGCTCACTATGTTGCAGGTACTGGCTGTTATTCAAACAAAACAAAAGAATGCAAACAAAAACAGCCTGTGAGAGCCTGACAGAGACCATGAGTTTACCCAATTGAGTTTTCATGGCTCTGAAAGTGTTGGGATTTTAGGTATTTGGCTGAATTGTATCATGTTGATATAGGATCTCTGGCTATCTTATATTACTCAAGATTTCTAATTAGCAATCATTAAGGACTTGATTACTGTAAAGGGAAAATTGAGTATTACTTAATTGTAGCCTGCTTATTTGAGAGAAAGCCTTAAAAAAATCTGAGTTTATGAAGGAAGGAATCCTAAAACATTGGGGAGAATTCATAATGGGAAAAAAAAAACGGAATTGCTACCATAAAGTTTCTCTTTTTCTATGTTTGACAAATGTGCATAGTATGCTAGCTCTATAAAGATTAGAGATATAAGTGCTTTAATGTGGAATTGCATAAATCTTTGCCTAATTTTTCCATCACACACTTGTAGATGCAGCCAGTTGTTCTGATAGTTCTTTTATCCACCCAAGTGGATTGGACTTTAATGATAGATGTGTGATTGGTGGGTGGGAGGTCAGCAATAATAATCTTCCCAAGATGAAAAATTGTGTGGCAGGTTTGTCTAGAACCCTTTAATTCTTTGAACAGGATAGGAGTAAGGAGAGAAAGTATGGACAGGTGAAGAGGCAGTTTTATTCATTACCGGTTAGCCAAATAAGGAAGGAAATTTTCACGTCTTATTTCATACCTAAAAGAACCTGTTTCTACTCCAGTAGCAAGCAATGTAGAAGTTAAAAGTGGAGATCCTGTAGCCAGATTGTTTGGATTGAAATACCAGCTCTGCTTGTTATTTGCTAACTATACAGATATTTTTTGTGCCTTCTTTGCCTCAGTTTCCCCATCTGTAGAACAGACATAATTATAGTTGTTTCATGGGGTTCTTGTGAGAAACAGGTTAACACATGCTTAGATCAGTACCAGTAAGCACTATACAAGTGTTTGCTATTATTCATTAGAATGTTAATCATTTTATTTCTAAAGTAGAGCAATTAACAGCAGCTGTTGAGGACTTGCATGTACCAAACATTATTAACTCATCTAACTCATCTACTTCATACATTTCCAGGACAGCTGGCAAAGTAAGTTCATTTTATATATGACAAAGTTATGTCACATAGAGGTCAAATAGTTTGTCTGAGTTCACACAGATACCAATACTAGACCCAGGATTTAAATCCAGGTACTTTGGGTTCGGAGGGGAGGGGCCAACCCTCCACCACACTGCCTCTCCAGTGTCAGAGCAGTTCTCCTGGGTGGTTGTGAGGATCAGGAAACTTGAAGCTTGTGAAACGCTGGTATAGATCTAAGCACAGAGTGCAATCTTGGTAGATGTTACTTTGTCACCATTGGAATTTCCCAAACCAATGAATATGAGTATGAATATGGTGACCTTTGAGAGAAAAGTAACCTGGCCACCTTCCTTTGGCTCTGGCCCCCCTTGGAACCCATGGCCTATAGAAAGCATTCTAACTACAGTCCCAGTGGAGGAAACACAGGAGTGGTATTGACCATGATGACATTGCTGAATCTGATAGCTCATTTGCCATGTTCTCTCTTATCTGGGACTTTCAAGTAGATGTGTCTAATTAAAGTAAATAAACAAACTGACTGTTGATTATTAAAAATTTATTGTCACTATTATAAAAAATGAAATGCAGAATACAAGTAACTGAGATGGTGGTTTCAAGGTGTGTGAAACAGAAAGCTTTGAGGCAGTTATCTGGATAAAGAGCACTAAGGAATGGGATTAGGAGCTGCATGCTATCTATGCTCAGAAGGCATGATTATGTGGGTTTGCTAGAGGAGCTGATTGAGATTATGGGAAGGGTGGTGCTAAAGGGTACCCTTGGGCCCTGCACCTGAGTCATGCCCTAATTGGTTATTATAACAGAGAGAAATTGTCTTTGCCCAGTGGTTTGAAAACCACTATACAATAGTGACATGATAGAAAAATGCATGTGAATTGAAATAATCCAAACTCAGAAAGGAAGTCCAGCGAGATCCTCAGTAGACACGTCCAGGGGAAAGAAATGCAGAAAAATTAATCCTTTTGTGCCATCATGTGTTATGAACTCTTTCCATGGCCACAGACTGCTGTTCTCCTAAACAGACAGAAGAAAATGATGGCAAAGTAGACCAGGCTCTTGAGGAGGAGGAGGATGTAGGTGTAGTAGGCGGAGGTATTGGTGAGCTGCAACTGCAGTAAATCTAGGAGAAATAATTTAATTAATTTCATCTGTTCTTTTGAAAGGATAGGAGACATTAATGGGAGGGGTCATAATTATTTACTTTATGATCTACATTGAAGTGACACTTCCATACCACCAAACCCCAGAATAAACAAACATCCACCACCACCACCACCAAGACAACTTAGAATGGAACTTGCAGGTCAAGTCACTTAGAACACTCCAAATATTAAAAACTAAGATTGTGTTTTTAATGAGATAGAACACAGAGAAGAAAGTATTTGTGGTCAATAACTTTTATCATTTCTTTAACCCCACAATGTCTCCTATAACAACAGTGAATGTTCTTCATTAACCACTAACCAATTCAAAAACATTCTGAGAGCTTTGTATGTGAAACTTTAATCTTATATAATTTTTCTAGTAACCTATGAAATTATTATTTTAGTTCCTATTTTACAAATAAAATGAGGGTGGGAGAGGATATATTTGCATTTAGTAAGTACCAGAATCCAGATTTCAATCTCAGCAACATGACTTCACGGAACACATTTTTAGTCCCTCCATAATTGTGTATCTCCGAGTGCAATGAATAATACCCTGATATCAAGGGGTTAAGGGTTAATATAAAATTGGGTCGCTGATTTAGAAGCATCTGAGTCATTGCATATGCATGCAATATGATTCCTACTAAGGAATCACTTGAACATATGGTGGTGTTCACAGCAGGTGGCTGGGGGTTTTAGCATAGGGCATTATGTTAACAGGAAGAAAGTGGTTAATACAAATGCTCTGAAACTTTAAGACATCACAGCTCTCTCACCTGTCTTTCTTGAATGTCCCTCATTGTGGCTATGATACTGTAAGGTAATTGCACTTAATATCTTTTAAGTTTTGCAAGAAATATGTGATGTCTGGAGTGGGAGTAAAGAGGGAGAACTGTACTTGAACAATGATTAAAATAAAAAGATAGAAAAAGAAAAAAGAGAAATATGTGATGTCAAGAAATAACTAACAGTGTGGTGGGTCTGAATGCTACTCAGTAAACCACAAGGCCAACTCTTTCATGTGGAAATTTCCTTATGACAAGCTTTATCTTCATAGTGTTGAGACTCCAGAATCATTAGTAATTGATGTGGAAAAGGGACCTCATGAAGTCGTGTGCTTAGAACACCTTCATGTTGGTCAGGTAAGGTGTTAGCTGAGGTCCACAGCCCCCTTTATATTGGAAATGGAGAAGAGCTCGGCAGAGCCAGAACCAATACTTCTAGGGGTTTTCCTTGTATATATGTGGGGAGAAAAGGCCAGATAATTGTACATATTCTACGCCAGCTAAATGAGATACCCTATGCTGGACATCCCACATATGTGACCTTATCTCCACAATAACTGGGTTTGGTGTAATTATTCCTGGTTGGCAGGTGAGGAAAGTATTTCAGAAAATGTAAGTACCCATATTTATGCCACTTGTAATTGAAACAACTGGGGTTGAAGCACATTCTGTGGTACTAGGGAGCCAGGCACTGCCCTCACTCCCCACCCCCACCATGCATCCATTGTGTCTTAGGGTCTTGGCTTTGGGCTTTCTTGCTCTATGGCTTGACTCTCAGAGGAAGAATAGAGAACTGAATATATGTATACTCTTGATTCTAATGGTCTGGGTTAAAACCCCAGATCTAGCTGTTTGGCTTGGTATGAGAGACTTCATTTTATCTCATTGCTCTCATCTGTGAAATGGGAGAAATATATTGTGCACTTCACAGGAGTATTGTGAGAATTAAACATGTCAGTTCAGGTTATTAAGTACTACAATGGACAAAAAAACAAAAAAACTTAGAAGCAAGTTGATATCACGTGTTCCCTAGTCATTAGAAACAAAAGCCATACAAATGAATAAAGTCAGTGTTGAAATAATCCCAAGCATATCACAGCACCCTGTAATTCACCATCATCTCATGCCAAAAGCCAGCATTTGCTGTGTTAAGATGACTACCAGGAAAGGATGGATTGTCTTAAAATAGTACTCAGTCTATTCTACAAAATCCAGCCATTCTGATTTTTCTTTTTCCTTTTTTAAAATTATTTTATTGTTGTTTGATTACAGTTGTTTGCATTTTCCCCCAACCACTCCCCCCACCCCAGCCAAACCCTGCCAGAGAAGTTCAAACCTTACATTGATCAGGAGGGAAAAATGGAATAGCATTACATAAAGGCAAATATATGCAGAAAACTTACCACCTTTATCTTTCAGACAATCATCTATTGTAGAATTGATACCAGCAACCTCTACAAAAAATGAGAGCAACTATTAATGATTTGTTTGTAATTGTTACTTGACAGTGTGTGTCTGTGTATGGAGAGACAGACACATAGATAGATGATAGATGATGATGATAGATAGATAGATGATAGATAGATAGATAGATGGATAAACAGATAGAATCTACCCACAGAGAGAAGAGAACCATTAAAAATATGCCCCATGATTCCAGGAAGAGATGCCCAGACTCCATGTAATTCAGTAAATCGAATTTACTGAATGTGTTTCTTCACATGAAGATGCTGCTCATGAGGGACACATTTTTTCTGTTTAACTGAAACTGGAGCATACTATACAAGACTACCTGTTTTCCCCTGCATTCATCACTCCTAGCACAGTGCCCACTGCAAAGTAGCTGTTGAACATATATAACACTCATTAAATGGAAAAAATAAACAGAAAAAGGAGCTGCTCTACAGTCTTCAGCACGCGCTGCTGACATGAACAGTTGTTACCAAAATAAATTGCTTTAATCATAGAATCCACAACAAAATCTTACAGGTTTGAAGGAATCTGTTGCAGACAAATTTCCCAGCTAAGCCATGACTTTTCCATTCATTCACAAGCCCTATGACTCCAGCTCACGCACATAATTTTCTGGATTTGTGGTTTTTGCAGATGTGACAATAGTATTAAAGAAGCTAACATCTATTGAGTGGTTATTATTTTGTGGCATAGTGTATGTTAAATGCTTCAGATGTCTTATCTTACTGAATCTTCCAGTAACACTGAAGTGAGTTGTATTTTGGAGAATCCATGCAACAGATGAGAAAATGAGGTACAGAGAGTAGTAGTAACTTGCTGAGAGTCATAGCAGTGACGGCAGAGCCAGCATTCAAAGGATCATTGTGGGAGAGTAAATGGAAGAGAACATGTGGAAACTACTCTCTACAGTAAAACATAAAACAATATTTTTTTAACATGCCATATTTTTTTCTGATACCTTATAGTTCTGGAGGCCAGAAGCCCAAAATCAGTTTCACTGGGCTGGAGGCTCAAGAAAGAATCTTTTTTCTTACCTTTTTCAGACTCGAGACTTTTATTTTTTGCACTCCTTGGCTCATGGTCCTGTATTCTCACAACTTCTGTCAGATCTCCTAAAGAGAGATAACATCATTCCACCTTGGCAGTCACTGAAAACATCATCTCTTCCAGATTCCTTAATTAGGCTTACCAAATGACCTTTACGTTAGAGGAGCTTGACATTTCACTTCAATTCTTTCCAGAAATATGAAGATAAACCAAGCCACATTTTGTTGTATTTATCTACAATGTTTTAAAAAGGAAAATATACATAAAAAGACAAAATTTCTTAAAAAGTTCATTGACCATTGGATGGAGGAAAATACAGTGGCAGTGACTGCATTGGTTTATCCTTTTTCAACTAGAGGTGTTCCTCATCATATGGGTAGAGTTCTGGTATGCTACTCTATGCACTCAATGGGATCTTTTTTTGGTGTGCACTAAAGTAAAGGTGTGAGGTATAGGCTTTGGGGTAAATCCCAAGATTGAAAATGTAAGTACAATTATGTTGAAATATTAAAATATCCTCAAGAATTCATATTACTATGTGTTAAAAGTTTGTTTATTTTCCTTACAGTGACTTTATTCAATTAGAGACAAATAAAAATCTCATCGCCATGTATTGGTTGAGGTAAAACTAATAAAGTAACAACTTTTCATAATACAATCTGTGTGTATCCTAATTCTTTTTCCTAATTTGATTGAAAACTTGGACCACATTAGTTTTATCTCTTTTTGAAATCACTCCTTTGATTTGTGCTACTATGTTATACTTTTAGCTTTTATTAAAAACAAACAAATAAAAACAAATGACAAACAAAAAACTTCCAAGAAACATTAGAAATTTGCCATGGAATGACATTAACAGAATGCCCTCATTAGTTTTGTTGCTGTGAGAAGTCCACAGGGTACATTTGTTACAGAAATTAAGTGCCAAGTAAAACATCTTGTACCAGACCATTTATCCTATATGATAGTCACCCCTGATCACTAGAAAAATGAAAACATAATAGAACACGTAGGCCCTGTAATTATATTAAATTTTTACTTTGTACATTTGCTTTCACTCTGCTTCCTAACCACAGAAATAGGAAAAATTAGGGCTGTTTTGGAAATCTTTAGTTATACAAAAATGTAAAAAAAAATACTAGTTTATGAATAAATACATCCATGTTATATTTCCAAAAGCAAGCATTTTCACTGACATGATTTCATTTGCTCTTCAGCACAGCCCCAGGAGAAAGCCCAGGCTAGGTTTCAAACCTGGTTTGACTACTGGGGAAACTCAGGACTGAGAAGGAAAAGTTTACTTCCGAAATTCCAACTGGTACATGGCAAAGGTCTTAGCACACCTTGTTATGGGCTTGTTCCCCACTGCTTAAAAGGTCTTGTTAACCACCAGGAACAACACCAAGTGATTCCTTCCTATGGGCACTCTGGGGCCTTTGGTCTGTTTTGTTAATACTCAGGACTTCAGGTTCTGAGTCTAGGGAGTTCCCAGACCACTACTGGGGCTACAGCACATTTAGCACTCTGCCCACACTGTCTAAATATGTACAAAATCTGAATCAAAGGCTCTCCTTTGGGACAACGTGCCTGAGTCTCGAGTGGCCCTGAATATTTAAGGAAAGAGGATATTCTCTTCACCGTGTGCATCCTTCTCAGGGCAGTAATTCATCCTAGTGTATTCATCACAGGCTTCCTGGCCTGACTCCCATTACAACTGCACTGCCTGGGTGTTTCCAGTGGCAAGAATTACATGCTCATTATGCAGGATGGAAATCTGTTTCTACACATCAGCCTCACCCAATCTTTAATTATGAAATTTATCTACTGTGGTGTATGTAATACAAACCTGAAAAACCTAGGACCACACAAAAACTGCAGGGCTCAAGTATCCTGTTTTTGTTGAAGCTTGATTCAACTCCCTCAGAAGGATACCACCTGTTGCCTAAGATTCATCGATTATACTTTTAGTAGAGCAGCACTGAAGTGATTATGACTTTGTCTGCTGAGGAGAAAATTCCTGAAAGTTATGTAATTCTTCTTATTTTCTGGTCAAGTAAGATCATCAAAAGTGGAATCTGCTCTGGCTGGTGTGGCTCAGTGGATTGGTGCCAGCCTGCAAATTGAAGGGTTGCTAGTTCTATCCCCATTCAGGGCACATGCCTGGGTCTCGGGCCAGGTCCCCAGCAGGGAGCACGCCACAAGCAACTACACATTGATTTTTCTCTCTCTTTCTTCCTCCCTTCCCCTCTCTAAAAATAAATAAAGAAAACATCTTTTAAGTGAAATCTTTTTTTGAGCAGTTGTAATGTGATAAATTGCTAGGTGCTTTCATGAATGTTGCTTCATTTAAGCCACAGAGCAACCCTAAAAATCATCATGTGACTTTAATATTTGGATGATAAATCTGAGGCTGAAAGGAGTAAAATCATCTAATTCCTTACCTTGTAATGTTCCAAAGCCTATAATATTTTAATTATGTGGTAAAATAACAGGATATTTTGTTACTATTAATTGTAGCAACATTTAAGAAAGATTAATATATACTTTTTTATTAATATTTGACAGACACTTGGGACAGTCACTCTGGGAACAGAAGTGTTCTGGGAAGTGATATGTGTATGCACATACCTTTATTTATTGAAGGAAAAAGAATCTCTTTATCAACTCCTCTTTCATTATTCTCGTGTTTGACGATGCATTTGTGTTCTTTATCCATTGATTTTGCAGTCACGGTCAGCCAGCTGAATTTCATGTACGTGTCCTTAGTCTTCATGGTATTTCCCTGCTGGGATGCCAGAATTGCATTGCCGTCCTTTTCCTTCCAATATACCTTAATAACATCGGGGAAAAATTTCTCAAGGAGACAAAGATATGTCCCAGCCTTATGAAGATTTATTTCAGCAACCGAAGGAAGAAAAATTGTGGGCTTAGGAGCAATATCTGATGAATCAAGGCTTCTCTCTGTGGGATGAAATGAAGCAGTAATTAAGTATTAGAGAAACACAGGATTGTGTGGTGTGGAACAACCCGGCATATAGTAAAAGGAAGAAAAGCTACCATTGAATTAGTGCTTATAATGGCTTTTCATCCATGATAAATTGTGATGTATTTATTACTGTTCTTCTTTTCAGAGGGGAAAAGAGGTTCAAGAAGTTATATAACTTGCCCAAAGTCACATTCAGAGCTGTTAAATAGCAAGCACAGCCTGAATTGAAACTTGGGCTTTGTTCCTTCTCCACCTGCTAAAATGAGGTGTGACTTTTAACAGCTCCAACATTTGTGATCTTATTTCTTTGTTTTTCATCTCTTTCATCCTATCATAGTTGAAGGATAGATGGCTGGGATAGAGGAAAAGACCAGGAAGTACTTTAGATAATCTCTCTTCAGATTATCTTTAGTTGCTTCCAAAGCGCAAAAACAGAACAAAGCAAAACAAAAAAACAGACATGGGCAGCATTATGGAAATTGCCAGAGAAAAAAGAGGGTGAGGGGAAGTAGAAAAGGGTAAAGAGAGAATGAATGGTGATGGAAGGAGACTTGAGCTTGGGTGGTGAACACACAATGCAATATACAGATGGTGTGTTCTAGAATTGTGCACTTGGGGGAATGGTAGGGAAAAATGAATGCAACTGTATTTGAACAATGAAAAATGTGGGGAAAAGTAAAAAATAAAATTGTACACTTAAAACCCATATAATTTTATTAACTAATGTCACCTCAATACGTTCAACAAAAATAAAAAGTACTTATCTCTCCCCATGAATTTTGTAACTTAAGTTCTCTTTGGCTACACATTCTCATGTTTTGTAACTCTGTAGAAGCTCATTCTCTATTTAGCTGATTCTGGAATGCAACAAATTGTCTTTTTTAAAATTTGTTATAAATAATGCTTAGTCACTTGTTTTGATAGGAATCTACTTCCACTTGCAATTAATTTATCAAGGTATTCTTTTGGCTTCGCATATGGACCCATGCCCAGTTTTGAAGTAATATAGTTCTCCTAGTTGATTTCTCATTTTATATAACATCTCAGTTCACATCTGAACCACTCCATATTTTTTAGGGCACCTCCAAATTATTTATGATGCTCTGTATTTAGAAGCAAAAAGGTAACACTTCCAGAACTTCTATTAACATTTTTATGGATTATTTTCAGAAATACATATTAATGTAACAAGTAAATGCCCTTAAAGGAATTTCATTTTACTTTAGAAAAATTTCACCTAAAGCCTATTTTATTTTTTAAGTTCATTTGAAGTTTTAGCCTGACTATTATACTATATTTTAAATACACCATATTTTGGCCCTGAATGTCTTCCATAAAATTTCTATGTAAGGCTACTGAGCTATTTTAAAAGTCCATCATTTTCTTTGTTTTCATCTGCTGAATAAAATATATATATAATTTGAGCAATGTTAAAAGCTATGTTTCTAAAGGTTTTGGTAGATCTAATATCAAAATATGTAACAAAACACAATGTATTTAAAAAGGCATCCCACATGAATGCTGAAATGTTTCTTGATTATGTATTTATTAAAAACCAATTATTAAAATTATAAATGTTAAAGCCCTTTCCTATTTGTTTCCCAATTAAAACACAAATTTCTTGCTGTATTCTATTGGGCTACGTTGGAGTTACTATAGTAATTCTGTGGGCTATTTTATAATAAAAATGTTAGATATCTCATTTGAGAACAAAAGGAAAAAAATTATTGAGTATGTCTACCTGTGGAAGAAAGCTCCTGATTTTCACACTAAACTAATAAGCAACCATTTTGAAAGGTTTTTGTTTGGGACATGTTGTAAACATAACTAAGCTATATTGGGCTTATTTTAATTGTATATATCTTTTTAGTTCATTGGAATTTTTTTTATAATAGTAAGGCAACATATATTTCTCCAAATACATACTTTGTCTTTATTTAAGAAGCATGTTATATAAAGTAATATTACAGTAATTTTTCAATTGCACATTATATAGACATAATTTTAGTCTCTAGTCAATATATTAAAGAATGTAAATTTATCTAAAAACCTCTCCATAGCAATATTTCTGGTTCATTATATTAAAGAAATATTCCATAGCAATATTTTCCATATTTTCCATATCAATATTTCTGATTCATTGTACTAAAGAAATCAAAAATCAAATGACAAACTTGAAATATTTGTCACATACCCTCTCGTCAACTACCCTTTTCCTTAGCTAGCTTTTTCAAGATAAAATGAATCTTGAACTTCCATACCTTTCTCAATGTAAAAGTTAACTGAGTATTAAATAATGTACTTAATTATATATGGTTAGTACCTATATTTTGGGTAATTGCATTATATGTTATTGCTTTATACATTTTTAAAAACATATTGACAATGTTTCTTAATGTCAAAATCTTTTTCATGATGCAAAAAATTGAAACCAGCTTAAAAAATCAATTAGCTTTCCAATACATTTATATAAAGTCCTTAGCATAATCAAATAATTCATCTGTGTTAAATTGCCTAAGTTGCTTGTATCTATTCAGATGCATCAGTATGAGAATCATATAATTTTACCAAACTTTATATAAATGTCAACTATATTTTCAATAGAAAGTATGATATTTCAAACCTATATATTGATATTGTGTTATCTATTTTTCTTGTCATTTTTCTTTTACCAAATAAGTAGTTATAGTTATTTTATTTTTAAAGATGAATTTCAAACTTATGACATTTCTAACTATATTTAATTTACTTTATATATGGACCATTTTCTGTATGAATATAAATTTTTTAAAAATATGAGAATGAAGCCAAACCTTATTGGCTATGAAATTTATGGCCAGTAAAGGTTGGTATTAGAAATAATTTTGATTGAAATGAAGGATTGAGATTTAAAGCACACATGCCATCAATAAAATTATAAACAAACTCATGTTAATTTCATTTTTCTTGCCAGTGAGGGAAAAGTGGTGGTAAAACTAAACCAATACCTCCAGATTCATTTTTTCATGAGTAGTTAGAAGTACACATGAGTTCTCGGGAATTTCTGCTCTGTCAATATTATTGGCTGCAAACAACTCTTCATACTGGATATAATTCTTCTTTCCATTTGAATTGGGGGAACACCTGTTCTGCACCTACTATATGTTAGATTATGTGCAAGTACTTCATTCACACCATCTCAATCAATTCTCATACAACCCCTCTGGATGCATACTTATCCTATTTTATGAATTACAAACCTGAAGCAACAGAATAACTGCCCAAGTTCACGTAAGCAGTAAGTGGTGGAACCAGAGCTCCATGTGATCCTGACTCCAAAGCCCAGGCTCTTTCACAACATCATTGCACCATCAGAAATGTAAATGTGTCAATTCTCAAAACTGATGTATGGTTTGGGCCAAATGCTTCCATGATAATTCCATACATTATTCATGAACATTTTGTACAAGTCCATATGTATACAAAAGCCAAACCCAGCTACAATAATTGCACAAAATTGTCTATGTGTGCCTGTTAGGATTTGTTTTACAATCTCCACTATAATTTCTACATCTAATCCCCATCAATTCCTGTTCTCCCTAAATATTCTGGTATTCCAATTTAACTGTTTCTTGTCTTTCCTCTACTACCTTGAAAAATTGCATTCTTCTGATACCTACCTGTGATGACAAGTTTTGTTCCATCACCAAGAGTTTTCTTCCATATTTCCACAGTGATTCAACCAGTATCAAAAACTTTACTAATTAGCTTCTCTGACTTTTTCATATTCTAGTGGAACTATGGTGGTTTGCAAATCAAGAGATTAGTGTTCTGCTTCTACTTCATTTTGCTCATAACAAGTTCTGTGGCTGAGCCAATAAAGTAAATTAACATTATTGGTGCTTTATTTATCTGAAAACAATTATGTGAGTATAAATTAATTCAATATCACAGTGAGGCCAAAATGAAACAAGATTTGAAAACCAATTTGATTAAAAACGCTATGGAAATAAGAGATTATAATAATTGTTAACCATTTTATGGTGATGACTTTGTACTCCAACCTGATTTTTAATTTCATGGAACCAAACTTTGCCCTTACCAGTAGGAATTCAGCACTTTGGGGTTGCAGCCAAATCTGCAGTAATGCATTCCACTTAGCTCTAATATGTCTGGAATTCTCAAAGCCATCACCATGGGAAGGATGACTTTCATACACTTAATTAGTGTACAATCTTTTGTCTTGTCTATCTGTATTTCCAGTGTTTAGAAAACCAAAGGGATCCTATGACCATACCACAAGATCTTGTCTCATTTCCCAAGAAAGTCAAAGGGAACACCAGCTAAAGCCAAATGATACGCAGTCAGTATATACAGCTGCTTCACTTGTGTTGTCCAAAACAAATAGCTCTTTCCCCAATTAACAAACAGCACAATCTATTTGCGTTCCAAGCTTTCACAAGAAATTTCAGCCTCAAAGTGACATCTTTCCTGTTGATGCTGAAAGTTCAGCTTAAAGCTCCTGGCAATGGGCCTTCAAGCCAGAATGATAAGAGAAGGCAGGGTACCTGTCCTCAGATCCTCCTATTGTCATGTTAAATATCTAAAACATACCTGCCTGACCATATCTGCTTAGGGTCACCATCTGTGAATGACATCAAATACTATAATGCACATAGCATTGATATAGTGGCAGAGTACAATGGGTTTGACAACCATTTCTGTCATTTGATAAACTGGATGTTGAAGACAATATTCACTTTACTTCACTTTCCTTCTAAAGGACTCATGCATTGAAATTGTTTTCTAATTTTATAGTGGGTGGGAAAAATCATGTTTCAAAACTTGGAGTGCTTTGTTTTATCAATTAATAAATAGTATATATTCCCCTAAAGAATTTCCTACACTTTTTTCTTTTTTTCTAAAATCACTTCTAGAAAATTGAGATAAAATTTACATAACTCTCTTACCTTTAAGTGTAAAATTTTAACCTGTGCTTCTTGCTGGATAATTATAGGTCTCCTTTCTTCTGCTTTCCGTAGTGATTTTGATCTTCTATTCTTATTTCATGGTCTGACTACAACTTTGATTTAGATCTTCTCAAACAAACTTTCGAAATAGGCAGTTTAAGATATAGCCAATAGTTTGTGCATTATAGGTTGTTCTTTTTCTATCTATGGGGTTAATAGTTTAATAAGGTCTACAAGAAAAATGACATGAAAACTGAGCAATTATGTTTGTAAATCCTAGCTCTGTGATATAGATAAAAAACATGTAGAATTCAGATGGGGGAGATCTGGACAGGTACATGCAAAAAAAAAAAAAAGAAAAGAAACTAGACCATCATTTTACACTATACACCAGAATAAATTCAAGATGGATAAAAGACTTAAATATAAGTCATGGCATATTGAAAGTCCTAGGAAAAACAGGAGCAGTAAAATTTCAGATATCCCATGCAGCAATATTATCAACAATACATCTCCAAGGGCTAGGAGGAAAGAATAGAGGAAATAATATATTTCCAGAGGAAAGAATAATCAAATGGAACTATATCAAAGTAAACAGCTTCTGCATTGCTAAAGAAAAAATAAGCAAAATGAAAAGGGAGCCAATGGCATGGGAAAACATATTTGCCAATGATACCTCGAACAAAGGTTTGACCTCCAAAATGTATAAAAAACTCATGTGACTTAACACCAGGAAGACAACAATCCAATTAAAAAATAGGCAAAGGAACTGAGCCTATTTTTTAGGCAAAGGTACTTCTCCAAGGAGGACATATGGAGGTCCATAGACTTATGAAAGGATGGTTAACATCACTAGCCATCAGAGAGATGCAGATTAAACCCACAATGAGATACCACTTCACATGGGTCAGAATGGCCATCATTAATAATTAACAAACAAGTGTGGCAAAGTTGTAGAGCAAAGGAAACCCTAGTGTACTGTTGGCAGTAATGCAGACTGGTATAGTCACTGTGGAAAACACTGCAGAATTTCATCAAAAAACTAAAAATGGAATTGCCTTTGATCCAGTGATCCCACTGCTTTTGTTGTATCCTAATAATCCTGAAACACCAATTCAAAAGAACCTGTGCACCTCAATGGTAATAGCAGTATTATTTACAATTGCCAAGTTCTGGAATAGCCTAAGTGCCCATCATTAAGTAGGTGGTTCAAAAAGAGCGGTGCATGTACACAATGGAGTACTATGCAGCAGAAAGGAAGAAGGAGCTCCTACCGTTCACAACAATAAGTCAGGTGAAGAAAGACAAATACACATGATCTCACCTATAAGTGGAACCTGGTGAACAGCACAAACAAAAAAGCAAAATAGAACCAGAGGCAAAGGAACAAGAAACAGACTGACAGTAACCAGAGGGGAGGGTTGAGGAGGATAACAGGGGAAAGGAGAGGAAGGGTCTAGTCAGGGAACATGTATAAAGGACCCATGGACATGGACAACAGGGTGGAGATTGTGGGAGCAAGGGGTGGGCAGGTAAGAGAAGAGCAATGGGGGATAATTGGGAAAACTGTAATAGAAAAACAATAAAAAAGGTGAAAACACTAGTAATAAACCCCATGTTACTGGATTATAATCGAAGGTATTGTTGTAAAATCACTCTGTATTTATAGAAATAAATATAGATGTAAATGTGGAAAATAATAAAAAATTGTTGCATAAAAGAAAAAACAAACAAACTGGATGTGGCAGATCATAAGGTGAGGCTTTCTTTCCCAGAATTATCCCTCACAAAGCAGGGGCTGCCTTATATTTCAGTTCTTGTTCAAACTCTCATAGTGAAAGATGCTCTCCCTATACAATGCTTTGATCAAAAAATAATACACAAAATGTCAAGTAAAATAGATTATTTTTTAATTTATTGTAAAATCTCAGTTAATACTAACTTTAGAGCTAGCACTGATATTAGACAATAAAGACATTTAACATGAATTAATCCTAAAACAACTTCTTTCTAGATTCCAATTCCTACTGATAGACCAATGAGTTGTTACAGAATGTAAATTCTTAATGATCATCTATTTATTGCTGAAAGACTGTTTTTTTTTTTTTTGGACTTATTACCTTTATAGTTTCCAGAGCATTTACTATACATGCTGTGCTGCTTATCAGAGGCTCTTATTTGGTTTGGTATTTCTGCAGCTGTCTCATCACAAGGGGAAAGGCAGCGCTGAGTTACGCAATTTAATCAGTAACACCATTTAGTACAACTGATTTAGTTCTTTTACCAGCAACAATATTTTTAGCAAATTTGATGCCAGTATAGAAACAAAATTGAATGGAGTCAAAAGATATTGTTATTTTATAGAAATACCCTAAGAACCATAATTAAAGTATTTAATAAATGTACATTTAACATGACTTACTTGATCTTTTTGGGTGGAGAGAGGGGTGGCATATTTAGAAGCAGAAGCATTGTTTTCATTCAAGAGTAGTGATTTAAAATATGAACTATTACTAATTAAGTAGTTAGTTAAAGAGTCCATTTAGGTGGTCAGACTATGGCCCTGGCTGGTGTGGCTCAGTGGATGCAGCGTTGGACTGCAAACCAAAGGGTCATGGTTCAATTCCCATTCGGGGCACATGCCTCGGTTGTGGGCCAGATTCCCCAGTGTGAGGTGCACAAGAGACAACTACACATTGACGTTTCTCTTCTTGTCTTTCTCCCTCTATTCCCTTCTCTAAAAATAAACAAGTAAAACCCCAATATTTCTAATATCACATAATAGTCCAGACCATGCACTTTGGAATAGATAAGTCTCTTGAATCCTAAACCTTGCCATAGTAACTTGTCATGAGACCTGAGGCAATTAACCAAACTACTCTAAGCCTCAGTTTTCTTATCTATGAAATGCACATAACAAGATCCGTGCATAGGGCCACTGAGGAATTAGATAAGGCAATAAAACTATTTAATGTGGTGTCTGGCCTTCTGTAAATACTAGCTAATATCATTCCCTTTAATGGAATGGTCAGGGCCATTTTTTAAATTATTCCACAAAACAAAATATAAGTATTTTATAAGCAATAATTCTTACATGAATTAAGAAAGGAAACAGCTCATGAACCCAAGATCTTCTGTATCTATGCCATCCACAGGCAAAAGAAGATGGAGGCTAATCAAGCTAGAATCTGATCTACTAGATGACAGGCTTTTTGAGTGCTGGGAAAACGTCTTTTTCATTCTTTTATCTCCAGCATTCAGCACAGAAGCTGTCTTCTGTAAATGTTTGCTGAGACAATGAATGAACAAATGAAAATGTAAAACCATGAAGACTTTTCCTGGATTTTGGAGCTGAAATGATTTATTAGGCTAATAATTCCATTAAACTGGTCCATCTCTACGGGCAGTATAGCAAGACTAGTGATAGCATAAATTGTGATGTTCTTTACTCACTATAAGAATTAAGTTTTTGCCTGGCTATTAGACATGAGATAAAAAGCCAATAATGTATCAGATTATTGGGAGAACAAAGTACTATGTTTTATCTCCAAATATCATGAATAAAACTGTCTATCAGTTAAAAGATCACCTATAAGAAATGCATCTTAAACTCATAATTTATACCATGGTATACAGGCATAGTACTCAACAGATTTTAATTTATAGTATGTAAGTATTTCTTGTGTATGCAAGTATTTCTTGTGTATGTGTATTCTAAGAACAGAGTTTGAATCACCTGACATGCAGAGAAAAAAA